AGCCTGTGACATGTTCTTCCCAATATGAATATTCCTGTTTTATTTTGGCTAATATTCCTATTTTGTGGGAATGTATTGAAAGGAATCAGAATCCTCCAAACTTTTGTTGCCTAAAAGCCTTGTTTGCTTGTTTTGTTTTGGTTTTTTTTTTAATTAAAAACTAATATCCACTAATGGCTTTTAAATAAAAATAAAACTCCTTGTGTTTTCTGTGGAAATATCATTAAATCTGTCCCGAATTCCTTGGATTGCAGATGCCTGGAATGATGCAGTCGGTGATGCCTGGGATGATGATGTCCCACATGTCCCAGGCTGCCATGCAGCCCACGGTTCCTGTGAGTTTTAATTCCAATTCCCTCAGTTTTAAAGCTTTCCCAGCTTTTCCAAGGCCTTTTCTGACTCTCAGGCTTTGTTTCCTTTCCTTGGGAAATCAAATTTTCCCATTTGGAAGCTGTTGCTCCTTGCAGGGATGTTTTATTTGGAAAAAAAAAAATCAGATTAATTGTTAAAAAATAAGATTAACTGTAAAAAAACCCAAGATTTCTGGGTGAGGTAGAACTGGTGAGATTTATTGTCCTGGGGATTTTCATCAGTCTTTAAATTCCTCCTCCTTTTTTTTTCCCTGGATTCTGCTTCCCACCCCCTCATCCTTCACCAGTTTGGAGCTGGAACTTTTCCCAGCATGGACTCTGCTTGAAAAGAGTTCTAATTGTCTGACCAATATATCAGAAAATAGTTTTTTATCTCTTAAATTGTTTTAAAAAAAAAATCTATAAATTGTCTCTAAAAAAATCTATAAACAAAATCATTCTATTTAAATTTATTCAGTTTAAATACTGAATAGATTTTAATCTGTTGTAAATAGATTTTTTTGCAAAAAGTCTCCTGAAGTTCAGCACATTGAACAAAATTTGCTGAAATTCCTGGAATTCAAAGGAATAAAGAAGATTTTTGGGTGGAAATGGGGAAGTCCAAGTGAAGTATCTGCAGTGAAAAATAAATTTCTTTCCTCTGAACATAATTTTATATTCAAATTAACTGCATTTAATTCAAATTGCAGCCACTTAAATTTAGAAAGAAATTATTTGGTTGGGTTTTTTTTCCCAGGCAGATTTTATATCCCTGCCAAAGTCTGGAATTTCCTGGAGCACAAACCCTTTTGTGGGTTATTTTAACACTTCAGTTGGTTAATAATAACCAATAATAATAATTGCTTTTCTCAGGGAGAGTTTGTTGAAAGAGAGATTTAATTAATCTGCTGAATATTTTCGTGTGACCAGAGGTAACTGTGTCAGCCAGGGGATTTAAGGAATTAAAATCCAGAGGATTGAAAGTTAAAAGTTCACAGAGATACAAAATTCCTGCAAAATAAATAAAGTTAGGAATGGGATGTAACATCCCCTGGATCAGCAGTAAAATCACCCTAATTTTCAATTTTAATGTGTAATTTTATATATTTTGCAAAGAAGGCAGATCATTTGAGTTTATAATGCTGGACTAGGAATGAATTTTGATGGAATTAAGGCTGGATATGTGGGATTTAGGAGGAAAAGGGCATGATTTTAGCACTTCCTAATTGAAATAATTTATAGATGAGTAAAAAAATCCTGTAAATGACCCCTGGTGAACTTTGAGATAGTGACCTGTTATAATTTTGGTGTCAAATTTAATGTGAATTAATTTTTAATTAATTAATTTAATTTTTTGGGAGGATTTTTAGGGATGTCTGGAATGTTGCATCCAAGGATGGCTGTTTTCCCTCCCTCTGGTTTGGGATCTCCTGCTTCCAGAAAGCTGATTAGAAACAGTGGAATTCCTAAAAAGGAGGATTTTTAGGGCCAGATTAATGCTCTTAATTCCATTAGAATGGAATTTTGGGAAAGCAGAGGCCCAGGGAAAGGGAATGTTGGAAGAATTCCTTGTGGAGACACAAATTGCTCTGTGGTTCCCTGGCAGTTCTCGTGCTCAGGGACATATTTAAATATTTAAAAGCATTTAAAAGGTGTGGAGAATTCCCCAGGTTTAACCCTGTTGGATCAAATCCAATATAATGGATCCCAAAGGGATTTATTTTCACTTTTTAAACCAATTTTTCTTCGTTTCTTGAGGAGCACTGAAATAAAATTAAGTATGGAGTGAAAACAAACCCTGGTTAAAGCTAAATCCACGAGCTCTGCTTCAGCCCACAGGGAAGGAAATCTGGAAAACTCTTGGAATTCTGAGCATCTTTTTCCTCAGTTTGTAAGAATTCCAAGGAGAGCATCTGGAAGAGCTCCAGGCTCAGGAATGCACCACTAATACACCCAAAGGCACAGAATTACCCCAAAAAGCTCCTGACCGTGTCCTTAATTGCTTTATTTAAGGAGCAGAGATAATTAAGAGGGCGAGGGGAAGGTTGGGATCCCTAGTTAAGGAATTTAGGGAGCATTTTGTGGCAGGAAGCACTGGTTTGGGTGGATATATATTGTATTTCTTGGTGATTTAATTCCAGTTGCACTCAGTAATGAAGTGTCTGTTGGTTGTTTCTGCAGCCAGGGGTGAACAGTATGGATGCACAAGTAGGTGAGTATCAAAAACTCTTTATAAAATTTAAAATATTTGACCAAAATCAGCTGAAATATCAAAAATAATCCCGTTTTGGAAATTTAATTCAACTTTTCAGTGACTTGGAGCTCTTCATTGCTTCCCAGGACATTCTTTTCTTTCCCACATCAATTAATACCCAGAAGAACAAAGCACCCAAACCCTTTCTGATTTCTGTGTGTTTATTTTTCAGGTGTGACCCCTCCTGGAACTCAGGTATGGGAGAACCCCAATCCCAGAAGGTTGGAATGGTTTAGAGGTTTCAAAGGACACTTTGGATCCTATTTTTCCTCTCAGACAGAGCTTTTTTCTTTTACTTATTTACCTGTCAGTCTGTAATTAATGCCAGTGGTTCAATTAGGGGGTTTCTGTTATATCCTTAATTTCTGAGCAGTGAAGTGTGTTTGGTTTAGTCCTCCTGGAAACAAACCCTTTTCCCTTCCCTCTCTTTTCCCCCTCCTCTCCTCCTCCCAAGTTTTTCACTCTTGCCTGAAATCTGGGGCCCTTTTCCCAGCTTAATTATTAAATATAGAGGATAATCAATATTCTTCCCAGGAGATTTGCAGTTGGACTGTAAGGAATTCCAGTTCCCCGTGGCCACATCCCAGCAGTGATCCAGAGGGGATGGCAAGAGCCGTCTCCTCCCGCTCCTGATTTCAGGGAATTCATACAAAAACTCTCCTTGGGAAACAGCAGGAAGCTCTTGAGGAGTTCAGTGGGAATTCAGGAAGGTCTTCAGGATTGAATGGGAATGGGGTTTGCTCCTGGAACTTTGACTTGGGAGTTCAAGTTGAAGTTTGACCACTTCACTTTCCCTTTCTGGTGGCAATTAGTGGCTTTGGAATGAGGAATGGGAAGCTCCAGTCCCAAAAAAAAAGCACTTTGCTGCAAACAACACTGCCTTAAAGTGTGATTTGGGCTGCTGAACTCTGGGTAAATTCAGTGTGTTTAACACAACAGTTCTCCAGGATTTTCAGAGCTCTTTTGTTTCATTCCCAGACAACCCATCCCGTGGTCTCCACGGTCCAGCAAACGGCCACCACCACCAGCTCTGCCACTGAGGATCACTCCAAGCAGGTTTGGCTGCTTTCCACTTGTGTTTCCCCCTTTCTCCTGCCTTTTGACACCACCCTGGTCACCAATCCTTGTTCCTATTATTCATGGGATCTCCTGATTTTCCTAGAAATCCACGTGGACAGAGCACAAATCTCCCGATGGAAGAACTTATTACTACAACACCGAGACGAAGCAGTCGACGTGGGAGAAGCCAGATGATCTCAAAACACCTGCTGAGGTGACTTAAAATCAGATTATCAGATTAAAATGACTGTCCTGGGGGGTGGGGTGGGAACACAGGGATTTCTGAGCATCACTCATGCAGGAGAATGGCTCTGCCAAGGGATTTACTTCCCAACGGGAGCAAACTCTTCAGAGAAGAGTCGTTGCCAAAATGTTTGTGTCCTGCTCCTTATGCTGATGTTACAAAGCAGAAAAAACTCTTCAGTTCTCCTCGTTTTTAGATAATTTTTTTTTATTAAAAATATGCCATTCCTTAATATTTAGATAAGTAATGGAGAATCCCAGAATCCCAGGATGGTTTGGGTTGGAAGGGATTTTAAGGATCATCCAGTTCCAACCCCTGCCATGGGCAGGGACACCTCCCACTATTCCAGGTGGCTCCAACCTGGCCTTGGACACTTCCAGGGATCCAGGGGCAGCCACAGCTTCTCTGGGCAACTGTGCCAGGGCCTCCCCACCCTCCCAGCCAGGAATTCCTTCCCAATATCCCATCTATCCCTGTCCTCTGGCAGTTTGAAACCATCACCCCTTGTCCTGTCACTCTGCCCATATAAAAAGTCCCTCTCCCTCCTTTTTTATAAGCTGTTTATTTGATTTATTTTGATTTATGCATTTTACTTTCTCTCCATTAGCAACTGTTGTCCAAGTGTCCCTGGAAAGAGTATAAATCAGATTCTGGGAAGCCTTATTATTACAATTCCCAAACCAAGGAATCCCGCTGGGCCAAACCCAAAGAGCTGGAGGATCTTGAAGGTAAAGTTACCCCAAAAAAAGGTGTCCAAGCACAACAGTCAGACCTCAGTTAGTGACTTAATTACTGAAATAAGCTCTTTGGAGTAGAGTTAATGCACCTGAGATGTCTGTGGAGCAAATATATTTATATATATTTATATATATTTACATGTATATTTATATATTTACATATATATTATGTATTTTTATATATATAAAATATATATTTTTATATATATATATTATATATACCTGAACAAAGCCTTACTTTTTTATATATATATATATTTATATATAAAAGCAAGGCTTTGTTCAGGTTATCATTTTGACTTTCATTTTTGGCAGTAATTATTTTGAGAAATTCAAGTGGCAAAAAGATTGGGAATTTTTCATATATATATAATAGATATATTAATATATAGATATATTAATATATAAATAACAGATTGCCTTTCTGTGTATAAATAAATAAATATATAAATAAAGGCAGTGACTCCTTTTATACAAATGTCATCTGATACTCCCATTTTTCACTTTTACCATGGTTTTATTTGGGATTGTGAGGGGATAAAATAGCTACAAAATCAGCTGGGAAAGAAATAAGTGTTTAAAAAAGAATAAACAGCAGTGATTTAGATAGTTCCTTCTGGGTTTTTTTTTTCTGTTTGATAATCCTGATTTACTCTTCTTTGAACTCCTCTTTAAAGTTGAAATAGTGATTTTTAAACCATTTTTTTAAACCTCATTTTTCTTGAATGGGTTTGGTTGAGTCTGAATTGATTTTACTCTCTAAAGGGCACAAATAATCAAATTATTGATAGTAACAAAAATATTTAAAGCTGTGCTGTATTAAATCAGTGATTGTCTTGCAGGACCTTTTCATTCATGTGCATATAAATTATTTCCAAGCTATATTTTAATTGTTTTTCCCCTTTCTCTTCCAGCAATGATTAAAGCTGAAGAAAACAGGTATGTTTTTAATATTATCCTAATTTTTGGCCTATTGCTTAAAGATGGACTCTGGCCTTGAAATCTTCAAACATTCTCCTTGCAGCTTTTCGTTCCAATATATATAAATAATATATAAATTTTATACATAAATAATACATATTAAACCTCAAATAATGTATTCTGGATGACTGTAAATAAGATGATGGACCTCCACAGATCCAGAGTTTGAGTAAAGCTTTTACTTGGAGCTGATTTTGTGCTTTTCTGAGGGCCTTGAACCCTTTTCTGAGAGTCTTTAACTCTTTTCTGAGAACCTTTAAAACCCTTTTCCAAGAACCATTAACCCTTTTCTGAGGGCCTTTAAAACCCTTTTCTGAGGACCTTGAACCCTTTGCTAAGTCTTTAGCCCTTTTTTGAGAGACTTTAAAACCCTCTTCTGAGAGCTTTTAAAACCCTTTTCTGAGAACCTTTAAAACCTTTTTCCCAGAGCCTTTAACCCTTTTCTGGGGACCTTTAAAACCGTTTTCTGAGGGCCTTTAAAACCATTTTCTGAGGACCTTTAACCCTTTTCTGAGGGCCCTTAAAACCCTTTTCTGAGAGTCTTTAGGACCCTTTTCTGAGAGAATTTAAAACCCTTTTCTGAGGACCTTTAACCCTTTTCTGAAGGCCCTGAACCCTTTTTTGAGACTCTTTAGGACCCTTTTCTGAGAGCTTTTACCCCTTTTCTGAGGGCCCTTAAAACCCTTTTCTGAGAGCCTTTAAACTCCTTTTTTAAAAGCCTTTAAAACCCTTTTCTGAGGACCTTGAACTCTTTTCTGAGAGCTTTTAAAACCTTTTTCTGAGAGCCTTTAAACCCCTTTTTTAAAAACCTTTAAAATGCTTTTCTAAGGGCCCTTAAAACCCTTTTCTAAGGGCCCTTAAAACCCTTTTCTGAGGGCCCTTAAAACGTTTTTCTGAGGGCCTTTAACCCTTTTCTGAGGGCCTTTAAAACCCTGTCCTGAGAACCTTTAAAACTGTTTTTGAGAGCCTTTAAAACCCTTTTCTGGGGACCTTGAAAACCCTTTTCTGAGGGCACTTAAAACCCTTATCTGAGAGCTTTTAAAACCCTTTTTGAGAGCCTTTAAAACCCTTTTCTGAGAGTCTTTAGGACCCTTTTCTGAGAGCATTTAAAACCCTTTTTCTGAGGGCCTTTAACCCTTTTTCTGAGGACCTTTAACCCTTTTTCTGAGGGCCTTGTACCCTTTTCTGGGGGCCTTTAACCCTTTTTCTGAGGGCCTTGAACCCTTTTTTTGAGGGCCTTGAACCCTTTTCTGAGGGCCTTGAACCCTTTTCTGAGGGCCTTGAACCCTTTTTTGAGAGTTTAACCCTTTTCTGAAGGCCTTTAAAACCTTTTTCTGACGGCCCTGAACCCTTCTTAGAGAACCTTTAACCCTTTTTTGAGTCTTCCACCCTTTTCTGAGGGCCCTGAACCCTTTTTGAGAGTCTTTAACCCTTTTCCGAGGGCCTCTAACCCTTTTCCGAGTCTTCATCTAACCCCAAACCTCTTATTTCATACTTCATTAACTTCCTTAATTAACCTCTGAGTTTCCCCTGACTGCCAGAGCTGTGGGTGACAGTGGGTGTTTTTGGCTCCCCCAGCACAAAACCCGAGGATTCTGGTGCATCCACAGCAGCTCCGGCCGCCTCCGCGGACGCTCCGAGCGGAGCCGGCGCGACGCCCGCGGCCGAAACCGCCCCGGCGGCCACGGCTGCTCCCGCCGGAGCCGCTCCAGAGGGGGAAGCTGCTCCAGCTGCTGCCGGGGGGGAAGCTGAGGGTGCTGGGACAGCCCAGGCCGAGGAGCAGGGCCAAGGAAGCGCCGCCCCCGGAGCGCAGGAGGGAACGGGGGACGCGGCCACCGGCACCGAGGACACGGCCAAGCAGGAGGCAGCGGGAGAGTGAGTGGGGTTGTGGCTCAGGGGGGATGGGGGAATCTCCAGGGAAGGAGGTTTAGGTTGGATATTAGGGAGAAATCCTTCCCTGGGAGGGTGGGGAGGTCCTGGCACAGGTTGCCCAGAGAAGCTGTGGCTGCCCCTGGATCCCTGGAAGTGTCCAAGGTCAGGTTGGACGGGGCTTGGAGCAACCTGGGCTGGTGGAAGGTGTCAGGGTTGGAACTGAAGGAGCTTTAAAGGTCCCTTCCAACCCAAACCATTCCATGACTCTCTGATCCCAAACACCGAAGTCTCATCCCAAAGCTGTGGCACATCTTAAAGCATGTTCTTGGAGGAATTGGAGGACAAAAGGGAGTGGATTTGAGATGAAGGAGGGCAGGTGGAGATTAGGGATTAGGAAGAAATCCTGGGCTGGGAGGGTGGGGAGACCCTGGCCCAGGTTGGGCAGAGAAGCTGTGGCTGCCCCTGGATCCCTGGAAGTGTCCAAGGCCAGGTTGGACAGGGCTTGGAGCAACCTGGGCTGGTGGAAGGTGTTGGAATAAGATGACCTTTAAGTTCTCTCCCAACCCAAATGATTCCATGATAAATTATGAATCCATGTGGCTTTGCTGCATTTTTATTTCTTCTGGGATCTGGTTTATCTTCAGTTGAGGGTCACCAGGCTCCTTAACACGAACATGAGTCAGTGGCACCACAGAATAATAATGAGTAAGAAAGAGAGGAAGAATTATTGATTAAATCTATTTTTAGAAAATTAACTCCCCTTGCCAACCCTCTCCCAAAGCTCTTAAACCCTACAGAGCATCAATGACATGAAAATTCCATAAATTTTTCAATAGCTGTAAGAATTTCCCATTAAATACTTACCCTTTATGATCCTTTTCCATAGATCTGTGCACTTGGTTATCAATGGAAGAAAATGAAATACTAAATAGATCTTTATCTGTTCCAGCAGAAGTGAGACCCGTTCTTAATTAATAATGAAGAATTGATTGTGTGGGGAATGACTATGATTTTTATCATTCAAATAAAAAAAGGCTGAGGGGGATTGCAGACAGCAGGAGGTCATCAAGGGCAAGAGGCACATTTTTAGGCATATATAATATAGGAATATTCCTGCTGCATTCCAGCATTATATTTTTAGGAGTGATTTCTAGATAACTTGAGCAGGCAATTGCATCAGGGAAATCTTGATCTGAAATAATTTGCTTTTTCTGATGAGTTGTGTGTGGTGCCTGTGAGGAAAAGCCTTGTCCAAACTGGATTTATCAGTGTTTGACTTTGAGCTGCTGTTTAAAAAAGTCCTTCTATCTAGTTATAGTCATTTAGGACTCTTCAGTGGCTCTGTCTTAGAAAAAAAGACTTAAATAATAAATTACTTTTTGTTTCTAGTGCTGCTTCAAAGAAGGAGGATGATGATGCCCAACCAGTTAAAAAAACCTACACCTGGAACACAAAGGAAGAAGCAAAACAAGCATTTAAAGAGCTGTTAAAAGAAAAGGTATTTTGGCCAATTCTTAATGTTTTCTTGAGCTACAAAACCTGCATTCGCCAGGTTTTATTTTTATTTATTTTTTTTTAACCTGAGGGCTGTTTTTTAAGGAATTTCACAGTGGAATGTTGATTCCAAAGCTAATTATTCCATGATTTCTTGTCTTCCCAGCGAGTCCCATCCAATGCTTCTTGGGAGCAGGCCATGAAGATGATCATCAACGATCCCAGATACAGGTACTGTTGAATTATTCCCTCCTCAAATCCTCCCCAGCCACCAGTGCAGGGAGCTGGACAATCCAAAATTAGGAATATTGATGTGCCTTTGTCAGGGAACTTTGGTCCTTCCCTGCATAAAGAAGTGCAAACCCTGGGCTGAATTTTTCCTTTGGAGAAGATGTGGTAGTTGGTATTTTCTGCTGTTTATATCGATTTTTTTGGAATAAAAGTAGACATTTGTAATGATGGAGCTGAAGATTCTCTGGGTTACTTTGGGAATGAGTGGCTGCTACAAACATTGGCAGAAAAGTGGTTGATGGCTATGATTAAAATATTATTTTAATGTGAAACGTGTAAATGCAGCACAATAGTAACTTGGGGTTTATTGTTAACTGCTTTTATTAGAAAATGCTGCTTTTTACAATGATCTTCCACTAATCCTGAGGGAGTGATGGTGGTGACTGGACATTTATATTAGATTAGATTAGATTAGATTAGATTATTATGTATAATATATTATAATATTTCTATTATATTATACTATATTACATTATATTATTATAATGCATATAATGTATATTATTATATTTCTATTATTGTATTATATTACATTATATTATCATAATATATTATATGTAATATTATATTTATATTATTGTATTACATTAAATTGTATTATATTATTATAATATATGTAATATATATATTTCTATTCTACTACATTATATTATATTATTGTATTATATTGTATATAATGTATATTATATTTCTATTGTTATATTACATTATATTATATTATTGTAATATATTATATGTAATATATATAATTCTATTTCTATTCTATTGCATTATATTATATTATTATATTATATTGTATATAATATATATTTTATTTCTATTGTTGTATTACATTATATTATATTATAATATATTGTATATAATATATTATTATATTTCTATTATATTACATTACATTATACTATGTTATTGTATTATGTATATTATATTTCTAATACTATGTATAATATTATTATATTATATATATTATATATTTAATTTTGTCTCAAAATCTGGATTATTCAGATCTGCTGCCTTTCAGTTCTTTGGGTTTGTCTCTCTTATTTAACCCCTTTGTATAAATGACAGAATTATTCTCTTTTTTCCTCTGCTCTGAAGTGCTCTGGCAAAACTGAGTGAGAAAAAACAAGCTTTTAATGCTTACAAAGTTCAGACAGAAAAGGAGGAGAAAGAAGAGGCGAGATCCAAGTACAAAGAAGCCAAAGAATCCTTCCAGCGTTTCCTGGAGAACCACGAGAAGATGACATCCACCACCAGATACAAGTAAGGGATGCTGGGGCAGGAGAAAAATTCGGGAGAAAAGTCCTGCTGGGGTGAGAGGATGGGCAGTGGCATCAGCTTTCATTTTAAATTCTACCTTTCCTTTATAAAAGATAAAAAAAGGTGTCACAGAAAATCAAATCCCGAGGGGGAAAATCAGGGAGACATCCTGTGAAAGTGTTCCTGCTCCTAACAGAGTTTATTGGTGGGATGGTTTAATAATAATGTTAATAATTAATTAATGGGGTGCTTTGTCTCGACCCAGGAAAGCTGAGCAGATGTTTGGGGAGATGGAGGTGTGGAATGCCATATCCGAGCGGGATCGCCTGGAAATCTATGAGGATGTCTTGTTTTTTCTGTCCAAGAAGGAGAAGGTAACTTCCCTCCAAATTTATCTTGTTACCCCTAAATTAATTTCAACCTCTGGTGGACCAGATGAACCCCTACTTTGAGGGTTATGGCACATAAAGAGCAATTTCTTTGGAAGGTCTTTGTTTTTATGCACATCAATTCCTGCTGAATTTACCACGTGTTTAATTTTTAGTATGATTTGAATAAATTAAAAGATTAATTTATTTTTATTTCTAAGCTGCTCTGAATCACTGAAACAATAATAATACGTAAAAATTGCACAGGTCCAAGTTGTGGTGTGTCCAAGGCCAGCTGGGATGATTCCAGTGGGAGGTATCCCAGTGGGACTGGATGGGATTCAAGGTCCTTTCCAACCCCAACCAGTCTGGGATCCTCTGTGAACGAAAGGCTAATTTTGAGTTTTCTTGGAGCAAAGCTGATGTCATGTCTTTCTGCCCACACAGCCTCAGATTTACCAACCCAAATCCCTGTGTTTTCTCCTCAGGAACAAGCCAAGCAGTTACGGAAGAGGAACTGGGAAGCCCTGAAGAACATCCTGGATAACATGGCCAACGTCACCTATTGCACCACATGGTCGGAGGCCCAGCAGTACCTGATGGACAACCCCACGTTTGCAGAGGATGAGGAGCTCCAGAGTGAGTCCACGGGATCTTTGGGATCCCTCTGGAAGAGGGAATGGGAAGAAATAACCTGATTTTACCCCTTATCATTCCGTTATCTCGCCAGACATGGATAAGGAGGACGCCCTGATCTGTTTTGAGGAACATATCCGGGCCTTGGAAAAAGAGGAGGAAGAGGAAAAGCAGAAAAGTTTGCTGAGAGAAAGGAGGAGGCAGAGGAAAAACAGGGAATCCTTCCAGGTTGGTGGGATTGGTTTTTCTGTCCTAAGTATGTCGTTGTGTGGGATTTTTTTTCATTTCTAAGGGTGTTTTTGTGCCTCAGGTGGGAGGTTTTGTAGCGTTTTCTCCACTCTGGAATGCACCTGGTTGCCAGGAAGTTGGGGAAAGTAGGAAGAAATAGATGGTAGAATCATAGAATCAGCTGGGTTGGAAGGGACCTCTGAGATCATCAAGTCCAACCCTTGATCCAACCCCGCCGTGGTTCCCAGCCCGTGGCACTGATGCCACATCCAGTCTGTCCTTAAAAACCTCCAGGGATGGAGAATCCACCCCTTCCCTGGGCAGCCCATTCCAATGGCTGAGCACCCTCTCTGCAAAGAAATTCTTCCTAATCTCCAGCCTAACCCTCCCCTGGCACAGCTGAAGACGGAGCCCTCTTGTCTTGCTGATGGTTGCCTGGGAAAAGAGACCAACACCCCCCCGGCTCCCCCCTCCTGTCAGGGAGTTGCAGAGAGTGAGGAGGTCTCCCCTGAGCCTCCTCTTCTCCAGGCTGAACAGCCCCAGGTCCCTCAGCCTCTCCTCACAGCACTTGTGCTCCAGTCCCTTCCCCAGCCTCGTTGCTCTTCTCTGGACCTGCTCCAGTCCCTCCATGTCCTTCCTGAGCTGAGGGCCCAGAACTGGACACAGCACTCCAGGGGTGGCCTCACCAGCGCTGAGTCCAGGGCAAGAATCACTTCCTTGGACCTGTTGGCCACACTGTTCCTGAGCCAGGCCAGGATCCATTGGCCCTTTTGGCCACCTGGGCACACTCTGGCTCCTGTTCAGCTTCCTGTCCATCCCCACTCCCAGGTCCCTTCCTGCCTGGCTGCTCTCCAGCCCCTCTGGCCCAGCCTGGAGCTGCCGGGGGTTGTTGTGGCGAAAGTGCAGGACCCGGCCCTTGGCCTGGTTGAGCCTCATCCCATTGGAATCAGCCCATGGATCCAGCCTGTCCAGGTCCCTCTGCAGAGCCCTCCTGCCTTCCAGCAGATCCACACTCCCCCCCAGCTTGGTGTCATCTGCAAATTTGCTGATGATGGACTCAATCCCCTCATCTAAATCATCAATAAAGACATTAAACAGAACTGGGCCCAACACTGATCCCTGGGGACACCACTGGTGATGGATCCCAGCTGGATGCAGCTCCATCCCCACCACTCTGGGCCCAGCCCTCCAACCAGTTCCTGACCCAGCACAGGGTGTCCCTGTCCAAGCTGTGGCTGCAGCTTTTCCAGGAATATGCCATGGGAGACGGTGTCAGAGGCTGTGCTGAAATCCAGGTAGACACATCCACAGCCTTCCCCTCACCCAGCAGGTGGGTCACCTGGTCATGAAAGGAGATCAGGTTGGTGAGAAGGAGATCAGGTTGGGCAGGAGGAGATCAGGTTGGGCAGGAGGAGAT